TAATTCATCTTAATTGCCCCAGTTTGTGTTAAATTTTTAGTTCAGTGACTATAGCTGTCAGTTTGGTTTGGCTCTGTTATATGGACTATGTGAATGGACCCCTGGCTACGTTGTCATGACTTTGGCTAGAAATCTGGAACATGACAGAACAAGCATAGATCATACATTTATTAGTTAGGACTTGGGGCCTCCAACTATTTCAGAACTTCAATATCTATTAATAAACTGGCAGAAGAACTGCCATCTGCTGACAAGACAGATTTGATAACATAAAAGGGGTGATTATTCTTTCTTTTGAATTTTCCATGTACTCTTTTAAAGCCTGCCATAAAACTTCTGACCTGTTGAATAGGCCTTTCCTTCAAATAATATGCTCAGGTTACCTTTTAAGCTACACATGTATAACACAAAAATTATCTCTGTAAGCTACCTCTTTACCATAATAACTATTCCAGACTTCTACTGAAATCAGTGTTCACTAAGTTTCACATGGTAGAATTTATTGATTATTTTATATATCCAGCATTAAATAGTGACTAACAAACCTACAGACTCAGCTTATTCAGATCACTGTCATATATATATATATATATATATATATATATATATATATATACACACACACATAATTGAGGGCTTTTTCTAGTTGCTCATACATTTATAATTTAAACCAATAAAATTTACATCATTGTACAAGCTCTTTCTACATTTCCTCTTCCCAGTAAGTTTTAGCTTTTGAAAGAAAACTTTCGTGTGTGTTTCTCATAAGACTTAAGAACATGTTTGGTGATTGTAAGTGTCCAATATGCTTGCTCATATACTATACTTGTGATCCACATTCTGGGTCTTTTTTACAAAGCAACCATTGTATATAGGGTTTTAGTATTTCAGTAAAGGTCCACCAATACTTGGCTTATGCATAGCACCTGGCTCTTGACTGCATCTTTTACCTCTGTTAAACACAAGTATAATGGAATATAATAGAATCAACATTGGAATAAGAACCAGATCTCATTTCCAGTGAAAATGCTACCTTAGTCAAATCACATAACACATCTTAACCCTTCTTTTATTATATGTGATATAAGAGATCCCTATAGGCATTTAATTGTCATAATTATGCTGTGATAAGTTTATTTACTAATTCAACAAATATTTACAGAGAACTTTCTAGATTTTAGGCATTGAGGTTACAAATGTGAATTTTGCTAAGAGGGATACACAATTTCTGTTTCTGTAAGTGCCATGAAAAATAACAGATATGAAAAGATCTAGTTGCAGGAGGAGTGTTTCTCTAAGGAAGGGACATTTGAGGTAGGCCTTGAATAGTGAGGAGACAAAGACATTCACTCTGGGCACAGGAACAAATGCAAAGACACTTCTTTGTGAATTTCTCAACCCATGATGATGGTCACTTTATTCAAAACCCTAGTTTAAAACTTGTCTCCACTCAATGGAGGTTTCTGCAATTAACTTTTAAATTATGGTTTATCTGCTCAATTTACACCATATTCATAGTTTTAAGTTCATGGTTCTGAAAATTTAACTAACAGTTCTGTTTATTCTAGTCTCATATTGAGTCAGATATTTCTAAGAGAATCCTAGGATTCTTCTATTCATGCTCCACAGAACCTCAGTAGTATTGTTCACAGAGAATGCTTGTTAAATGCTGGGGACTAACTACTATAAAGGAAATGAGTATTATGTATTTCTATTCCCAGAGTAAGGTTTCATTATCAAGTACATCAGAAAGAACTAAAGTGACATAGTAAATCCAGTGGAAAGAGCATATGACTCATGAGCAAGAAATCTCAAATTCAATCCTCAGTCCTACCATTTACTTACAGACATGGCCTTTGGCAAATAAAATTTCATGACCACTTGTTAATACCTATAAAATGGGGATTTCATTTGACCTGTCTATCCAAAATTAGTTGGTCACCAACTATATTTCATGGTATATCATAATCACTGTTTTTAAAGAATTTCTAAGCTTACTGTGGAAACAAAGTATAAACACTGGAAACAATGAACGTGTTTTCATTTGAGAACTGGAAGAGATATCAAATGATCTTGTCCAATCCTTTACTTTATAAGAGAAATCACAGGCCCCCAAAATGAGGGAACTTGCCCAAAGTTACAGAAATATATTATGGCAGAATCTATAGCATCAAAATTTTCTAAATGCCCAGTCCAGCAACCTTTCACCATACTACATTGTTTTTATCACTTCTTGCAACCTTATCCTCAATGTACACAATTCACAATTAATTCTAACACTTTCTACACTCAAATCTAAGAAGATAAAAATGGAACGACTTTTTAAAAAAGTAGGTAAATTCCTGAGGTTGAGAACTTACATAAATTTGATAGAACTGAATTTTAAAAGTGCCCAATATATTACTGAGCCACAATATTAGGAATGCAGTGATTAAAAGCAGCTGATTTAGGAATATTTTTATCTACTAAATGATTATAATTGACCTGTGGTTGGAATTTTTTAGTTTCTAATTATGTTGATATAATGATGATTCAATTATAGTATTGAGAAATACAGTATATGATTTTAATTTAAAAGGTGATACATTTGAACATACATAATACTGAAAGTAATGCAAAACTTTTTGCTTGTTTTTTTTTATTTGTTTGTTTTTAGTCATCTGTTTTCCTATTCATAATTTAACCTAGAAGCAGAATCTAAAGTTGAAAAATAGAGTATCCCTGGTGTACCATGGATTATATAACACTTTTAATGTGTGCAAATGAAAAATAGGATAGAAATGATGTCATAGTCTCAACATCAGAAAGATCTGAAATAAATCTGCAATGTGAAAATAAACTGGGTACTAAAAAGTAAAAGAGAACAAAACCAAAAAACTCTAAATAACTACCTAAAAATAGAAAAAAATGTCATCTAAAAACAAAATTCTTCTTCCCAAAATGTCTTAAATACATGAGGCAGTGGTGATGGTTGAAACACAGAACCAAAAAAAGAGTCTTGGAAACAAAAACCTAACCAGAAGTGAAGTGGCTTTTGAGGAAAAGCATCAAATTGATAAATGTCTCTTCAGCACATACTTTCATTAAGCAAGAATATAAAAAGCTTTAGAAAGTAATGTGCAAAAACTAAGGTTTCAATAAGCCATGAAGTAAGTTTGTAAAATGACTTGGTAAAGCACAAGTTATTAGTAGTCTCCAAGCATAGTAGTTCACCACAGAGTAGACGTAAATGCTTATTTAAAAACTGCAATTCTTGTATTCTGACTCACTGAATTTTTATTCTTAAAAAAGAATGTTAGCCATGAAAGCTGGATCAGCAATCCATTTATGAAAAAGGAATTTAACATAGCCTCAATGAGAGGAAAAAAAAGATACCAAAAAATATTTTCTTTTCTTCAAAATACAAGTTGTCTTTTAGTCACACAACCTTACAGCAGGTCACTGTTCCTCACTGGAACTGTTTTCTAATATGTGTCAAGCACTGTGTAGGATGATACATATACTGTTTAATCAGATCCGCTATATAGACAAAATATAAATTTTACCCTTATTTTGTAGTTAAGGAAGCTACAGTTAAGGAATTAAGAGGCTCAAATAAGTTAAGAAACGTGCTCCCAAATCGCACACCATGTATGATATATTGAACCTACCTTTAATGCCCCAAATCTTGCTCTTTTCACCACACTACCTTGTAAGATGAGAATATTCTCAAGGAATACAATGTTCTCTACAGGTATTCTATGTGATAAAAATATGTAATTCAGTAATCCATTATTCTTCCAAAACATGCTCGGGGAATAATGTATTTGTTAATGCTAATTAGCCTACTAATTTTAATCTGCTGCTACTGCAAAGTAACTTTAGATTTTTAAAATAAAGATAACTCAGAGTTCATACTATTTTACTAGGACCAGCCCTATGACACTTGCAATATGAATTAACTTAAAAATAATAAATGGTAACTGCATGAAATTATTTACAAAGTTTTAACAAATTCTAAAGTGTATTTAAATATAGTTACATCTTTTACAGTTTTTTTAAATATTTATTTTTTAGGTGTAGATGGACACAACACAATGCCTTTATTTTATGTGGTGCTGAGGATTATTTAACCCGGGTCCCGCCCGTGCTAGGCAAAGCGCTCTACTGCTGAGCCACAATCCCAGCCCTAAAAAAAAGTTACATTTTAAAAAAACTTTTCTAAACTTTATGATCCTCAGAACCATATACCCCTCTGTGAATTTGAAAAGTGGCAACACATTACAGATACAATGAACTACCTTTTCTAAAATAAATTAGTGCAGAATAAAGAATGGATTCAATTTTTTTTGGTCTGATGCAAAATTCTGGTTGTCACTATAATCATTAGTTATCTCTTTTAGAATATGCTACCTGAAACACTTTTTCTTCATAGACTAGTTTATGTTACTAACGGTAAAGTTCATCAAAATTGGCCTAATTGGAGAAAGAACACTTAATTAATATTATTAGTATTGCCCTATGGTATCGGATAAACTGAGAACCATTTTGGTACTGCGGGGAACATTTTATTAGACTTGATTATCCACAAATTTAAGAAATATTTATTGAGCATCCCTAAATAGCAGGCACTGGACTAGAAGTCCAACACAACACAATCTTTGGCCCTTAAGAACACCAGGTCTAGCGAAATGAAACTCCACAATGGCCACGGTCTTCGCTGAATTTACAATACTTACAGATGTGAGAAGTGGTGGACCACACTCTCACCAGTTCATTCTCCTATTTAAGGGGAACCAAATCCAGGCACCAGAGTATCAAACTCAAACTTAGTAAGAGTGTCAAAGAAAGGGGGAAAACTACCAACGAGCAGTTAATCTCAGTCCTCATCTCCGAGAGGCTGTGGGGGCTACCGGATGAACCCCTCGAATTAAAGGGATCAGGGAGGCGCCTTCAGAGCCTGGACCCTGCAGAAGCGGGGGCAGGCCACGACCTGCACTTCGGTGACCGGCCTCGCTCACCTCTTCCACCTCGATTTCCTTGTAGTCGATCTCTTCAAAGTTAAGAACCTGGGAAGGGGTTTCGATCATCTCACTGGCTGAAGACGAGGAAGAGGAGGAGGCGGCGGAGGCTGTAGACATGATCCCTCGCGGCGCCCGGGAGGGCCGGGGACGGTGCCGCCCGGACAATCCGGGTGAGACCCGTACCCAGCCGCCTCCGGGCCGACCTTCAGCCTGGGGCCGCACAGCCCTGCCACCCCGCGATCCGTGGCGGTGGACTAGGCAGCGGCCACTGCAGTGTCCCGGCTCCGGCTCCGCAGCGTTTTCCGCTGCCGGGCCCCGCCCACCACACTTCCGGTTCCGATACGAAATCGGAAACAGGAGGAGGACTATGAGGGGAGGGGAGTAATTTGTGGCTTGGAAAGAGAAAAGAAGAACTGGTTGAGAGATAGGGTGGACATGGGTGAGAGGCTAGCTCTTGGACCTGTAGAACAAGTTTCGCGAGACCCTTGTTAAAAAGGGCCTCCGCAACAGGGTGATCCCGCGAGATCTGAGATAGTGACGCAATTAAAGTGCGCGAGCGGAAGTGGAGAGGAGCAGGACGGAAAGTCTTTGTGGTTGGTCTTTTAGGAACCAGCGGGAAAGATGAAACCTCCGATTTTTGTCTGTGCTTAGTGAACTATGTTATCTTTCAACTTCCTCTTCTCTGATTCGCTTGCAGATGTTTTTGTGGCGTATTTTTCAGTTTCGGTCCTAAATGCAGCCGAATCTTTTTTTTTTTTTTTTTAAGAAACCTCTCAAATATTTTCCCAAATTTGGTATACGTGGAAGGAGGCAGTTTTGTCTGTCACTTTGAGCTAGTCCCCGATCCTTTGAGAGACTCTTTAAAAGCGAGTCAGCGCACGCAACCTGAGTAACACTATGGAAGCTGAATGCTCACGGATAGAAGTTAGTATTTTGATATTAGAAATTTTACACAAGAGCATGTGGGTAAAGTACCACTTATCGTAATTTGTCGTGTTCATTTAAAGTTATGGATTACGTGTGTGTAGCACCATACTAGCGCTATCAATAGGCTTGCAAATCAATATTTTGTCTTCAGGACATGATAGGTAGATTTAGAGAGTTTAAACCATTTGATCCTCACAAGCTAGAACAATACTATTATCCAAGGTGGATAGTATTGCCCATATTGTACAACCAGCACATTTTTTAGTTTTGAGCTAGGTATTATACTTTAGTCAGTTTGACCTGAAACCAGTGAGAAAAATTGAGTTAGAAATGAGGATTTAAGGACCAATGGACCAGGGGTGGATTTCTGCAAATGTCAAATTCTAAGTCTCAATGAGCGACTTAAAATGGAGGTGAATGAAAATGGGGGAGCGAGAGGAATAGTGATCAAGATGTCACCATAAGAGAGCTTGCCAATGAAAAGGTAGCCAAACAAACAAGTAAGTGCTCTGAGAAAGTAAGTTAAACACATTTGGGCTTGCAAATAGGTCATTGTATTTGGCAATCCGAAAATTATGATGTATTAGAAAATAGTGTAGCTTTTTATTTGTAGGTCCTGTAACAATGACAATTTGATAGATGGGTAAAAGAATAAAAGAAGGAATAATTTATTCTCACTATACACAGCCTGTCTGGATGATCTCGCCCAGGATCTTGGCTTCTTACACCATTTTTATGATGATGATGACCCCCAGTCTTTTCTCAGTACTCAGATTTGTCCCCAATTCTGGACCTGTTGGATATCTCTATTCAGATATAACATAAACACCTAAAAAGTCACTCCACAAATGTGTTCCTCTTTCTGAGTTTCCTATTTCACTAAAGGATGCTGTCACCTAGTCAGTTGTCCAAGTGAGAAACAGGGCATATGAAATGATGTGTACTAATAACCAAATATAATTAGGTTAAATCAATTGGATAATCATTTTTACCTATCATTCCTTTTCGGTTTCCAAACTAGGATAGTCACTTCTTACCTTAAACTATCACTTTGCAGGCCCATTCAGATTTCTCTTTAACACCTCAGTCTTAGTACAGTGGATGCTGCCAAGTGGGAGATAAGGATATAAAAATTTTGTAATATATTTTGGGCAAATTTTATCAATCCTCCTTTTCCTTGGGAATATAAAATGAATTTACTATACCTTCAGGCTAGGACTAGAATTCCAACAAAAGGGTTAATCACTACAGCCAAGATGCATTTCTGCTTGAGTTTTCCCAACTTTTTGTTACTAAAAATGTCAAATGTACAGAAAAGTTGAAAGAATTTCATAGTAAACACTCATATATCTACCAAGATTCTTCCTTTAATATTTTACTATACTTGCTTTATCATGTATCCATCTATACATACTTAAACCTATTTTTTGATTGTTAAATGCATTTCAAAATGAATTGTTTACATGATTTTGAATATCATCCAAAATAATAATGTTCAAACAGAAAAACAATGGAGCGGAGCTAGAACCCTTTGGTTTACCTCAATTTTGACTTTGCATTCCCTTTAATTTCTGTAACTTTCATGAATTAAGGATGAAAGCTAGATCTGACATGCAGATATGGGGAAGGAGGTAAAGGAAAGTATAATTTGCAGATTTCTTACTTGTGCGACTCAGGGTAGGAAGGTTGCCTTTTACAGAAGGAAGTAAAACAAGCCAGTATGGGAGAGGAATGAATGAAGAAATCAGTTTTAGACATGTTGAGCTACAGGTACCAGAGAAACTTCTAAGTGTTGGTTGTTGTTGGGAAGTGATAGAGCTTAGAACCCAGGACCTCCTGTACGCTGGGTAAGCATTAGACCACTGAACTATACTTCTATTCCAAACTGTTGTTATTAAATTGACACTTCATCCTAGGGAAAAAGATGAAGGTAGAAAAGCAGATACTGACATCCTGATGATAATTAAAGCTATGAAAATGCATGAGATCACTGAAGAAAAATGTCTATAAATGAGGAAAAAATTGGACTTAAAACACAGCCTTAAGGAATAAAATGGTTAAGAGTGGGTTAAGGTGAAGGCACTGTTTATAAAATTTGTGAAAAACCCAAACTATGATGTGGAGGCCAAGATAAAAAGGGTGATTTGGTGTTAAATACAGTACTTGCAAGAATTTAAGTATGAGAAAATTTGAATAATATTTATTGGATTTAGACACTCAGAAGTCATTCATAACCTTGACTGGGGCTTATGGGAACAGAAACTAGGTGAGTTGGATTGAGAAGTGAATGAAAGGTGAGGAAAATGAGGATAGTAATATGGACAAATTTTGGAGAAATTTGATAATTAAGGGGAGGTAAAAGATATATGAACTAAACCCCATTGAAGTAAGAGAATTTAGGGTTTTGGCAAGAGTGTAGTTGAAATGATAGATTATAGAAGCAAACCTGAAGAGATAATGGGAAAGTGTAATGGACTGGAAAAAAGTTAGACAAGTCAGCGGGGTGGATGTGGTTGAAGAACATGTGTGATGAGCGGGCTGGGGATGTAGCTCAGTGTTAAAGAGTTCTTGCCATGCATGCACCAGCACCCCCTCCATAAGAAAGTTTGAAAGTTTTCTGAGCAAACTGAGTGAACCTGGGGTTGCAATTAGAGGGAGAGATGTTTGAATTTGTTATGTTAGAGGTGATACTGTTTGGGGCAAGGGAAAGATCTAAGATGATTGGGAAAAAAAGGAGGGGTAAGTCTTTGGAAGTGAGAAGAGTGGAAACACGTCAGGATATCAATGGGTCATTCATCTAATTGTCTTCTGTTGGACATGAAATTTGTCTCTAAATTTTCTATATTATGACATGAACACCTTGTATTTAAATCTAATGTTTTTATGGTGTCTTTATGCAAAAGCTATTCTGTTTCTCTGATTATCTTATTTTCCTTTCTATGAAACATTTCTAATTTGCTTCTTTGAAGAGGGGTGGTAAACTAGTTGCAGTTAGAATTTCTGTGCTTTATCTTTAAAGCACAGTTTTTAACTCTAATGATAGTTATTATTTTATGTATCTTGAATAAATTACTTAAACTTTCAACTTTAATTTATCTACCTAATACCTACATCAAAGGTTTTGGTACAAATTAAAAGTGACTGGCTCATAGAAATTAATTAAATGTGAAATAATTGCTACTTATCCATTTTTCCTTCTTTGAGAGGTGATAATGGGGAAAACAGTTCTCTATAACAGATACTAGGAGTCTGTAGTCTGGGGGGAGGGGATTGGCTTAAGTAAATTAATGAAGGGGGAAGAAACTTGCTGGGGACTTTGCATGTATTATATTGCCCACTAATTTTAACAAGAGGGGTTTTTGCTCTTAGCCTTACACTTTAAAATAGCCATCTCTGATTCTCCTATATGATATTCCTCATGGGATGAGAGCATAAGGAAATCATGCTCCAGGGTTTGTAGAACCCTGAAGTACCTAATAAAATAGCCTCAAGATTTTAAGTGCAAGCTTCTTCTCTGAGTCTGTCTTCTGGAAGGCTAACCTTTGTTTCTCTTTGTGTGTAAATGAGTTTGAAGGTGTAAGCTGGGGTGCCCACATGTGGGTGTGTAAGGCCCTTTGTAGTACAGACTGAGCCCGGTGTAGGAGGGTGGGGGATCAATCCGGAGTTGGAGGCCATCTTTGCTCATCTCACTGCTTCTGGTGAAGGGACTGCATTTCCTTAACCAGTTTGTTATCTCATTTGGAACTTATAAATATTTAGACTTTTAGTATATAGACCTTTATTTGTACTCTTGCCCTGGGCCCCATAGAAGTTAGGAGGTCTGTTTTGTATTTGATTTCATTTCTATGTGTTATTGAGTTACAGGTAAGGTATTCCCAACTTGGGTTTGCCATTTCCTAAATAGGTCTCAGCTCAGTCACTGTCTGGGATAGTTATATTATACTCCCTTTGGCTTTTTTTCCTATTTACTTTCTCTTCACAACTCAGTTTTTATTTTATTTCTGTATCTTTACTTGATACCATATTATTTAATTATTTTGTCCCTTGTTTATTTTCTGTCCTTCTACTCCCTCCTCAACCCTGCCAATTGGCTGTTAGTTCTGCTGGGGTAAGAATAGTAAGTGTTTTTTATAGTTCCCTCAGGATTTAGAAAAGCACCTGTAATGTACTAGACATTTAACTTTTTAGGCAGTAAATAAGCATCTACTGTTTTAAGTAAGTGCTATTTAATTCATTTCAGCTATAAGGATTTGGTTAACCAAATATTTTCTGTAATATTGTTTGGAGAAATTTTAATAAATAGCTAAATTGATATACAATTAGCATACTTATTACGTGTAATGGAGATTTTTAAAGTATTTGAGTGTTTTAAAATTGCTTTGTTTT